GAAACCATAAGAGTCTCTAACTTCTTTTGACGTGGATTCACTTATTAAACGGGCTAAGCTGAAGAAGATTGGCTTAAAAGCAATGCAAAAGCCCAATAAAGGCCCATAAGCTTGTAAACATGTTGTCAATTCACGAATACAAATATTTCGACAATATCTGAATTTTTTTTAGAAAATCATGTATTTGATACTGAGTGGCGTTTTGCTATTTTGGCCACATAAAGGGTCAAAGCCCCTCGTCCATTTCTTTCCACTTTTAAAATTCTCCAATCCATCATTATTTTGCTTTTTGTAGAATCGTACACACCAAAAATAAATAAAAATTCAAATATACTTACTTGAAATAAAATCGAGACGAGAAGATCAATATTATATAAGTAAAGGTAGGTTTTGCTTCACCTTTCCGCAAGGTGAGTGATTATAGTTTTTCTTATACATATCATTAGGTTGTTACTTTAGGACCGTAAAATAAACCATTTTATCAAAAGAAGAAGATTGAATAAACCATAAGTGGTAGACAATAAAAATATAGACTTTGCCAAGGAAATATAGACTTTAGATTGTGCTTTTTGTAAAATCTAACTTTCATATTTATATGATATTTACCTTTTAGCAAAATAAAAATAAAATTTGTGATTAGATTAATCTAAAGGTTCAAATGATACAAAAGAAAATTATTTAATTTTTAAAGAAAATTATTTAATATAAAGAAGTTTTCGCATATATATGTATCAACGTAAAAGTCACATAGAAGTTATAACTCTGGTATATATGTGAAACAACAATTGATAAATTTGAATATAAGTACTTTACTATCCAAGGCAAAGTACTCTTTCGAAATCTGATTTTTTTACTGAACATTAGATAAGATTTTAGCATTTTCATCAATATCCACGTAAAATTCTAATTGAAAAGTTTTTTTTTTTTTGGGTTCTACTTTGTGGAAACCCTCCAAAAATAGGCGTATGCCACTTAGCGAGGAGAGCACACGGTATTCTTTAGTAAAAGGCGAAAGAATAGTTCATTTTGTGTTCACCACATGGCTGCAAGAATTGACAAGTTAAGTAGAAGAAATTGAGTATCGTAAAAATATCTCAACATGACAATTTCTCATTAAACTATAATGATCACAAAATGATGATTTTGCATAAGCTTTCAATTAACCATCGTGAAACATAAATTTTAACAACAAGCCACCAAATTAAACAAGATAAAGATGCAATAAAGTAAGACAGAGAATTATTTACAATCAACAACATGAGACAATATCATAATTAATGTATCTATATTATACAACAAAACCAAAATCAAAATCATCAAACCCTAAAACACCGGACGAGATGTTTGTGATGATGATGATCAAAGGGAGTGTTACCGAGAGATTTAGAGTTTTCTCGATCGATCAATCCTCGAACATACCTAAACTCTTCGACATGGCAAGGGATCGTGATCGTTCCTTTTTGAGCGAAACCAAACTCTTCTTCAGCTTCTTTTAAGAGTTGTCCGAACAAAGGATGATTGAAATACATAACAGGAATCACAAATCTCTCGTGCTCTTCTCCTTGTCCTACCTTCACTGCCAAACACCCTTTTGGTACCTTCCCATGATCAGGCTC